AAAGGTTAGTCAGAAAGCAAAGAAATGAAGTAGTATGAATACATAAGTAAACTAAATGTGCGCGCTTACAAATAGAACAAATGTATCCAAACCAATCAATAAAGTAATTGGCAACTAAAATGTATTACTATGTTCAAATGAAAACTGAATATACAAAAGTTACAGACTTTAGAGTGTGGCCACGGGTTTGGCCATCACAACATCTAACGATGTCTGCAGTCTGAAGCTTCGCTGTTTCAGAAAGAGTGTTGGTGTGAATTATGTCCTGCAGGTTTTAGATGTGTCCTTGATCCAACACAGCTGATTGAAATGGCTAAATGACCTCCTCAACATGTCTTGAAGTTCTCCAGAGGCCTGATGATGAACTAATCATTTGATTCGGGTGTGTTGACTCAGGGTGAGATCTAAAACCTGCAGGGACACCGGCCCTCGAGGCTTGCTGTGCAACACTTCTATCACCCTTCTATCTTCAGTTTCATGTCAAAGGGTTTTGCTCCAAAGCTAGAGAGCTTATTGCCAAAAAACACCCGAGTCAAGCATATGGAAAAAATATTATTTCTTAATAAAATAAATAGTTACCATCACAGCAGTATTCATAAACACAATCACTCATGTCTACACACCTTAATCAAAAACAAATTAGATGAATGAATGAACCACAGTGAAAAATAAGATAAAATAAAACAGATTAAGGTGTTTTTATTTATATTCTAGGCAGTGATTATTCCCATGCTGGGACTGTTGTAAGACAGCCAACAGGTGCAGGAAGACAAACTGCCATGGCTGCTATTGTCAGGGTTGTGCTTGTGTGGCGAGCAGAGGTAGGACCCAAGAAGTAGGTGATGTTCAAAGTTGCAGGAGGCCCTTTGGGAAATATACTTTTCTACACATTATTTATTTTGTAACATGAGCAGAGAACCTTTAGAGATGTACAGCTCTGGGTGTATTTTGCACACCGTCTTTGACTGTTGCAGGTGGTGAGAGCTTTCAGGAAGCTAAAACAGATTAAAATCTATTTTTATTTCCACCAGGTCTCAGGACAGAGACAAATTTCATGTTGCAATACTTTGTTTGAAAAAAACATATCAGAGGATTATTTAATTTATATAGAAGAGAATAGCCCTTTATTGTCATTGTACATGTACAGCAAAATTATAGGTGCTTCACACAAACTGTGCATTAAGTAAATATATATATA